CCCCCCCCCCCCCCCCCCGCCCCAAAAAAAAACAAAGTCAGGAAAAGGTTAGCTAGCCCTTTTTAGACTAAACCCTTTTATCCTGTTTAATGAAGGGAAGCAACATCATAAAGCTAATCTGTAGCTGGAAATGTCAGTACCATTAATAATTTGTTTTCATAAAAAAACAAGACTGAATGAACCATGAAAAGTAAGTTAATGATAACCTGTTTTTTGTTTCCCATATAGGTTTTCTCAAGCTTTGGAAATAATAGAGCACTTGGCCACTAATACACCTGAAATCTGCATTCACACTTGAAAGGGTCTGCTTTGGTGTCCATTGCATTTTCTAATCCCAAAATTCTTTCCAACGGCGGGGAAAAAAAAGGACTTTGTATGAGAGGAATCTAAGATAATAATGTGACACAGAGTACCCAGAAAGTCTGTTGAAGAAGAAGGACTAGTACTTATTAGGTGGCTTTCTCTTTTGGAAAAGACCACCTTAAAGTCAACAAACAAAATGCCAGCTAAGACCCCCATCTACCTGAAAGCTGCCAACAATAAGAAAGGAAAGAAATTCAGACTAAGGGATATCTTGTCCCCTGATATGATCAGTCCTCCACTTGGAGACTTTCGCCACACCATCCACATTGGAAAAGAGGGACAACATGATGTTTTTGGGGACATCTCCTTCCTGCAAGGAAATTATGAGCTGTTACCTGGGAATGAAGGAAAAACAAGAGTTGGCCAGTTTGGTGAATTCTTCAGGGCAAACAGCACCTCTGACTCCATGTTTACAGAAACTCCTTCACCGGTGCTCAAAAATGCTATTTCACTTCCTGCAATTGGTGGTTCTCAAGCCCTTATGTTGCCCTTACTGTCACCAGTGACATTCAGTTCAAAGCAAGACTCATTCAGGCCATCAAGGAATCCTCGACTCAGTTGTGAGCCAGTAATGGAAGAAAAATTGCAGGAGCAAAGCAAACAGTCGGAGGACAGGGAAACGTACAAAGATGCTGATGTGTGGGAGCAAAGTGGTTCTACATCACATTATACTAATGGCAGAGACAGTCATTCATCCAGCCTTTCTGAACGATGCACTGATTGGCAAACAGTTGATTTATTTGAAGACAGTCAGCTTTCATGTGAACTAACCAAGACGGAGACCAAGTCTGAAGACTCCCTTTCAGATCTTGCAGGCTCTCTTCTTTCATTGCAACTTGACCTTGGACCTTCGCTTCTGGATGAGGTCCTCAATGTAATGGACAAAAATAAATTGTAGAACTGGTACCTTTTTGTTTCTATATAAAATGATTAATAAAAAAGAAACCATAACCGAAGAGTACTGAAGAATAAATATATAAAAATATCAGCTGTATTTGCAGTTGTTTGACGGGTTTTCTAAAAATATTCTTAAAATACTATTTTTTTACCTATTGTTTTTCATGATTTTTACTACAGCAAATGTCTCATAACAAGAGGATAAATTTTAATGAAAAAATTTCAGCAAACATGAAATGTTTTCAAGGACCAGTATTAGCTGTCAGAACTTAAGGAATATACTTCGGGGATACTACTACTTGTGACCATTAGTTTAGTTCACTTCTAGGAGCTTTTGATCTTTGAAGAATCTGTAAGCATTAGACAGGAGATTTTTAAGGTAAAAAATAAATATTTCAACATTACTTTACATGTAGGCCTCTCTTTAGTACATTAAACTGTCTTTAGTTCCATTTTCTGTTTTCGCTGCACTGTAACTAGCTCTTCAGTGTTAAACTATTGCTTTGTGTTCAAATGTGAACCAACTTGAGGGTTTTCTTTTCAAATATATTTGGCCAGATTCTCAGCTGCTATAAATCAGCATATACCTATTTACACCTATTGAGGACTTGGCCCTGTAGCTATATATGAAAGCATAAACCATCCGTTGCAAACAGGTAACACAAGCAAAACATAACTGTTAAATTATTTTGAAATTTAAAATATATATTTTGTGCATAGTTTGGCGCTTTACTGCAGAGTCTACATTTACAGATACAGTATCTCATTGAAATAGTTGCTTGACTTTATTGGAGATCCTCTTAAAATTGTATATTTGTGTGTTTTGATAAAAATATGTATTTATACTTCTGGCTTTTTTTCCTTCAATTATTGCCACAAATGCTTAAACTTGCAACTGATTTGTTTTAAATACCTTTAAAAAGAAGGCACTGGTTATTCACAATGCTTGTGTTGCATGCTGCAACATCCAATATTTTGGAAAGTGTGGATCCTTTACAGTAAAGACATGAACTGCATAGATATGTTGTGCAATACAATAAAGAATAAATGTTTAAATTGCAGTGTCTTTTGTGATTAAGTGTACAACTCTGAGTTGAAATTCTGGTTCTGACTCTCCATTGTGTTAGACCAGCTGTATGCTATGGTGGAGTTATGATATTATAAAATGAGTAATGCTGCAGTCAGCTTGATTACATGTCTTTGTTTTTAACTTTAGAGACTGCAGTTAGTTAATTTAAATGAGAATGTTGGTTATTTCTTGGCTAACTACAAGAAGACAGTTGAAAGGTTTATGTAGCGAGCTCTGACATATAGGCTGAAATCTTGACTTTCTGCTAAGTAGAGGGTAGAAAATGAAATTTGAAATAAAGGTGTTACTTTTCCAGAACAGAAACAATTTGTGCTGCTTTTCCTGCCCAGAAACTCTTTCCCCAGACCAATTGCTAGGTCTAATCTAACCCCAGCAGCAGCTGAGTGAGGCCCTAACTAGTATCCCCTTTGACCTCCAAGAATGGAAATGGGATCTTCCTTTGGTTGCAGAATGCATGTCCACTTAGGGTGCTTACACAAGTTGCATTTTAAATGTGATTGGGCACTTTACAGCTGTGACATAACACATGTGCTTGTCTGCAGAGTGCTTTCAAAATGGCTGATTATGCAAAAAATTAACCCTGGTCAAATTGGGTATTAGATGAAAGTGCTTTAAAGCAGACTGCCTTAGGGAACATGTGTTCCCTCCAGGATTCATTTTTTTTCATGCTTTGCAGGGCTGTTAGCGGGGAAGGGGAAAGGAGCAGAAAGCAGCTGCTGGCTGCTTTGTCTGGCTGGAGCTCAGGGCGGGGGTTAGAACAGAGCGCCGTCACCTCATGGGCAGGGGGTTAGGGAAGGGAGCCCCCCCTTGCCTCATGTGGCAGGCCCAGCTCCCTCTAATACCCTAGCTGGGGGGGCCTGCAATGCAAAAGTGCTCCATTCTAGCATCCCACCCCCTCCAGCTCTGGCCAGGAAAAGCAACCAGCAGCTGTCTGCTGCTTCCTTCCACTCTCCCTCCCTCCCCTGCTGACAGCCTTGGTGCCTGTAGGGATGGGGGGTTGCTGGTGGGGTGGTGCAGTGGTTCAGCAGCCTCTTTGGAGGCTGTCCCAAGTCCTGATCTAGTGCCTAATCCATTGGTGCATCCTTCCTTTTCCCATTATGGCCCTCCTGGAAAACTGTTGCAGACCATGTACTGACAACCTCTCAGTTCTGAGACTCTAAAGAACAGGTGTTGGGAAGCATGTTTGGGATGGACTGGAGGAGGTTTTTGCTCTCCTGGGTAATAGGCAGGCAAGTGGGAGTTGGTCAGTTTGGGTGGAGTTTTAAAGTTTTGGGTTACTTGGTGGATCTACTGTTATTTCCTATTTTGTAGTTATAGGTCATTTTCTTTAAGCTACCCAGAGCCTTCTTGGGTAGCGGGAGATGGACATCTAAATAGCAATAACAATCAACTCGGCCATAGCACATTAGAAAGGTGCAGTTGTATAGGAGATAATTCCCCTGTCCATTTTGCTGAACACCAAATGCATTCTGTTACATTTTATCAGTTCTTTTTGGTAGCTTGTGCTCAAAATGCTGAACTGGTGACACCCTATGGATCATGAAGTTGCAACCTTGATGGCAAGCATAAAGGACTGAGTGGTGAGGAGGAAAAACTACTTTCAAAGTATGTCTGCTGTTGAAGCAGAAGGTGAGGAAGTAGTCTTTATTTTCTTTCTAATCTCCCCCTGCATAAAAGTTTCTTTAATAGCACCTGGAAGTTGGATCCTTGAACATCTTAGGTTTGCCAAGCCCAAGTGTAAGATTTGCAGTACTTTAAAAACCCTGAGCTACCTGGATTAAATTTTTAATGCAGCCTGCTGTGAAATACCAGTTCTCTCTGATTTCGGCTGACGTTGCACTTGTCACAAGATTGCATCACTGGAGTGCCTTGAAATGGGGACGCTCCATTCCACAGGGAATTCTGCCATTTAAAAAAATAAAACACTACAATTTGAAGGAATTTGAGTTTTTATTCCAAATTTTCAATGGAAGAGAAATTCCAAAAAAGTTCTATAGTAATCAAATTGTACTTGCTTGCTTGTTTGTTATTTATTTAAGTGTGCGCCCACACACATGCATGCACACACAGGTTGTTAGGCAGTTTACCAGGGCTCCTGAAACCTGTGAGAGCACAGCTCGGTGCAGGTGTCTCAGGAGACACTAAAATCTGGAGCATGAGGGTTATTGGTGTCCTGAGTCTATGGAAGAATTCAGTTGCCTCAGAGCCATGGAAACTGGAAGCCCAGGTTCCCAAGCAGCTCCCTGCGCAGGATGGCAGTAGACTGGGTGAAGGTGCATGAAAAGCTCAAAGCTCGCTGAAACTAATGTTTCCATAAACTGGCGTCAACAAAATACGACTTTGTTAGAAAACTCCTGGCCAGCTCTAATTATCAGTATATTTGCTTGAACTTGGCCTCTTCCATTTATAACCTTTTTGGGTATTTTGCCTTGCCGTTATGTGTAAAGGTTCAAAGTGGTTCTGGGGGATTCCTGGGATGAATGATTGCCTGCAAATGCAGGAGACTTGATTCAATGGCCCAGGAGACTTGACTCAATGGCCCAGAAGACCTCTTACAATCCTCTGTTCCGAAATACCAGAGGGCCCAACTCTCTACTGCCCTGTGCCTTGCACTGTCCTTTACACCAGTATGAACTGGATGCAGAGTGCCACCATTCTGCTTTGTAAATGACTGGTATAAATATCTGTGTGTGCAACAGCACAATAGCACAGCTGAGCCCAGAGGATCTAAGAAATTATTTACTGCACTGAAGAAAGTCTTGTGATCTGAGTAATACCAGGTGTGAAGGTAGAATTCATTTCATGGTCCTTTTGCAAGAGAGCTTGGCACCAGGTTAGGGTTGGGAGGCCTTGCTTCAGTTGGGGCTGGACAGTTTCCACAGCTGAGAGAAATGGGTTGGGGCAAATGTTTCAGACACATGGGAGGATCTAGCAGCCAGGATGTAAGTCAGGCATGTAACTGCAAGGTTGTTTTGGGGAGGTTGGTAAATACCTTGGGGGGTTAGGGTTAAGATGGAGTACTTGTTAGAGAAGGTAGAAGATCACCAAGCAGCCCTTTGAAATGACAAATATAAATAATCCAGCTTACAAGTGTTACAAAGAGACCATTGTGCTATGTATGGCTGAGCCAAATAGAGCTAGGATGACGCAGAAGTGGGGAGAGATGGATGCACACTGGACTCTCAGAATTGATTCCAAGGAAAGCAATTAACAATCTTTGTAAGCAAATTAACTTGATAGGCAGTGGCTTAACTCTGCTTGGTTTGCATCTATTTACTTTTCACATGAACATTAAGCCTGTTAGTACATCTGTTTCCTATGAGCATTTTCATTTTATATCTTTTTAAATATTTCCTGAACCCAAAAGTAAGACTGTCTGTCACTCATTGCTTCTCCTCATTGATTTTTATAAGCACTAGAAAATTGAGGAAGTACTTAATATTTTTTGTTTATTTTTCTAACACTGTAAGGTTATTTTTCCTTTGAATTTGTTTTTTTAAAGCTGAATTCTCAAGTGGTGGAAATCAGCACAGCTCCAGTCAAAATGAATAGACTTTGATTCACTCCAAGTGCAGATATCAAGCATGGCATTGACAAAACCCAGGTAAGTGCTCAGCTTACTTTCTTTTTTCTGTTGCTACCCTGAGACACTTTGTGTCTGTGATTCTTGAGTAGGGTGCCATGAAATCCTTTAAGGGCGTTGCAGGGTGCTATGCAACATGAGTAGTGTTAAGTACAAGTTATGTATAGATGTGTGCACAAGATAAACCCAGAGATTTCAAGTAGGAATCCATGGGCACCTATACATGAGCAATGAGGCTGCTCCGACACACTGTAACTATATGTGATGGGGGCAATGCCCTGAAGGAAAACTTACCTCAAAGCGAAGAGCTCCTGAACCGGCAGGATATAGCTGGAAACTGGAAGTCCAGCGGGAGGGAGTGGCAGAGAAAAATGCCACGGCAACAAAAGAGGGAAATAAAAAAAGACACAACAGGTCCAGGAAGAGCTGGGGTCAGCTCCAGCCCTGGCACAGACCTGCTTTATGGTGGCTTGCCGACGCCAATTCGCCACCTGGCCCCTTAGGGCAGAGGTAAGAGCTCTGCTGGGAGCAGAGTCAAGATGACTGTAAGTGAGGTTTCTGGTGGGGCCAGAAGAGCCCCGAGGAGGAAAGAGCTCCAGAGAGGAGCAGTGGTGGCTGCCCCAGGAGGGGGCACATGGAGAAAGGAAAAGCCTGCAAGGGCCAAGGGACATACCTGAAGAGGAGGTGTGGATCCCAGACACATCCAGACATGATTGGATGGCCAAGGACCCTGCAAAAGGAAAAGAAAGCCAGGAGTCCGGGCCAAAGTAACCATATAACGGAGAAGCAAGAACACCCCTGACAACAAGGTAACCCAGGGATAACAAGGACCACAAGCCAGTCTTTGCTACGGCTGGGAGCTCAGGCCAAATGAGGTTCATACCCTATTTTCCTTTAAGGTCAAAAGACCAAGACAAAAAAATGATTACTATAGCTCACCTTAGAGATGAGTAGAAAATAACATCTTAAGGTTGGCGTCAGGTGGGATGTAGGGGAGGTGGAAACTGGACAAGCCTGGTTACGGAAGACCCCAAGGAACGTGGGACGTAACACTCTACTCCCAGTAATAACTTATTTTTCCATCAAAGACATGGCAGGTGAGAACCCCCTGAAGGCCTTCCAAAGCAAATATTTCAACACCGAACTGTCCAGATCCCAGTGAAACGGCGACACCTGAGAGGTCCCTAGGAGCTAGGCGTATGAGCAAACACCATGGGAACTTTATACTATAGCGTGTTGAAGCAGACTCAAGTAATAGAGTCTGCTGGAGCATGGTAATTACTGCACTCCAGCAGCCTCCAGCATCTCATGTATCAGCATCATTCAAGCTTTAGATGAAGCACTCCCACCACCATTTTGAAGCGTAGGGACGCTGATACACAAGACTCTCCAGGTGCTTTAATTACAGTGGCTTTCAGAGCCATTCCAATTAAAGTAACCCTCCCAGAACCACATCTATAAACACCTCGTGTCAAAATCATTCTGACATGTGCTCTTTCAGAGTTTTTTGCCACAGAAGAATTGCTCTGTTCTTTTTCTGTAGTCAATAAATGAGTGAAAGCCCAGAACTGGCATTTGAGACACATGTCTTGAGTCTAGAACAGTTGAGAATCACTCCTTTATGTGACTTTTTTCCCCCTGATTATCCTAGAAAAAAAGTTACTTAATTTTGCATTTACTAAACTCAAACTATAGTGACTTGGTGGAGGTGCGTTTGACTGTTCCCTTTTGCTCCATGAACCCTAGTCGGAACCCAAAGAAATGAACCATACTTTGGAAACTTTCTTTTTCCAAACCAGGGTCTGGTATATTTCTGTGAATAAGACTTTTTTTTCTTTTTTACCTGAGAGAACAGGAATTCTGCCTTTACTTACTTAGAAATAAATACCATGGAAGTCAGCATGCATTGTATGTATCCTATTGAAGTTGACTCACTGACAAATGCTAGACTTTTAGGTCAAATCTTACTTGCTTCATTTATTCGTGAATACTGTGTATTCCAGAGACGCTGGGTTGTTACCTCTAATTACAGAGAAAAGTCAAGTAATTAAAGGGCTCCTATTTTTCTGTCTCTCTATAGACAAGAAGAAGGAAAACCTGAAATGCTGCACAGCCTCACCTCCTCCAGAACTTGCAAAAGCCCAACCAAAAGGAAGAAAATCTGTGGTTGGAGAATGGGGTGAGCAGACAGGAAACAGCTGCTTTCCATGAGTTGTCACCCCACCAACCCCACAAGGTCCTGAGTCAGTATTCCCTTTTGTATGGTCAGCTTTCATGGCATTGAAACTTTTGCCACTCCTTCTCAAAGGAGACAGCTGTGGAGACAGTGACCATTTGGAGGGGCACTTCTGGGCTAGGGACAGACATTACACACAAACTGATTTAAGTGGTCAGAAACTGGTTTAAACCTGTAACAGAACAGATGTTCAGTGCACATAAACCAGTTTGAAAATGGCTGAAACCAGTTTGAGATAAACCTGGTTGAATGTAGCATCAGACTTAACTGTTTTGGGTCAAACCAACTTATGTAATGTCTGTCCCAGACTCCTTGCTGGTTTAAGTTAAATCAGATTCCCCCAGCATCCTGGCACGTTCTTGGGGCTGGGCTGTCTGCTTCACAGCAGAGCTGGCCACTCCCCTTTTCTCTCTGGCAGAGACTTCCAGGCACAGCAGAGTCTGCTGGCTTCCCCGTGCCTCCCCCTCCCCCCTGCTGCTTAAGCAGAAATCCCTTCCTCCTCTCTCCCACAACACAGACCTTAGCCAGCATGTGGTATGCTAGCTAATGCTGCATAAGGCAGATAGGACTGTGTCCGCATAGGGCTTTTTGGAGCTAATCAATAGCTCGGCTGATAATGTCCCTGCATTCCTTCCTTTGGAAAAAGGTTTTTACGAAGAGCTTGAACTAATGAGCGAGGTTTTGTTTTCTGATGGGGTGCTAAATACTGATAACAGATAAATGCTGTTACCAAGGAGCTGGTAGGGGGAGGGACGGACTCCTCCCTCCCTAATCACAGCATCCTGACAGGGCCTGATCATACCCTGCCTGAGCTCAGCCCTGTGGAAGGGAAGGGAGGGCTGCTCTAACACCCCCCCCCGGCTTTTAGCCTGAGCCACTGCAGGCATGTGCCAACATTTTTTTTCAGTCCAGAGGGGATGTCTGTACGGTTACACAGTGATTTGCAGACTAACCTGCAAGGATTGAATCAATTCAGGCTCAGGCTTTTTGAATGACTGTCCCTAGCCCTGAAGAGACATTTCCTCATAGCTCTGAAGGCAGCATTGTCTTTTTATTATGTTTGTACACTTCCTAGCACAATGGGCAGGGGTGGTCTTGGTCAATGATTAGGAATCCTGTGCACTAGCAAAGTACAACTCATTAGGACAAATACAACAGGAGAGACATATGGGGAATGATTCCCAAGGGTAGCCAAGCTCTATTTGATAAAGGCCCCAGCATGGAGACAGCAGCTTTGTCCCTTCCCTGTTCTGACAGTGGGCTTGCCACCAGCTGCTTGTTGTCTCACTTCAGAGTTAATTTTAATTTGGATAATTCCATAGAGAATGAGGGCCGTGCTCCTTGCTTTGGTATGCAATGAATAGACTTCAAGTCTCATATGATTCCTATATTTTTCATCATCCAGCTGCAGATATGGCTAGTGCTAGGAAAAAATGTGCCAACAATAACATTTGAGGAACCACTTTTGTGCTGCCTCAGTTCTTGGGCAACTGAAGTACAATGTACCTTCCTTAAAAGAATTAACACATTTCCTGCATCTTCTTTATTAAGGCATGTAATGCCCACCAGGACATGTCAGAATCTGAAACAAGGGCTTAAAATGCTAACTCTTTAAGAGTTACTTTCCTTGCTCAGTCTTTTATATTTAAAATTTGTATTGTTTGGGGCTTTCCCCCAGTATTAGGAATTCTTATTTATTTTGCAGGTTACTTTGAGATGTAATAAGTACCTTCTGTTTCTAATTGATGCACGTCAGTATTTACCTCATCACTCAAAACTTGTTTTGCTTTCCTTGAGCAGGCAGCCTGCTTCAGGAAGGTTGAGGTGGAAAAATCATACAAGGACACATTTTTTCCCATGATTTCCAGTATATGATAGTATCTCCTGCACTGGAACAACTGTGAGAACAGCCTTACTCATGGTATTTCTATTTCTGATCCTGGCCAGTATCCACACATATCAACCCTTGCTGGTTTAGGTATGTATGTCTAATCATCAAGTATTTTCTAAATGCAGAAAGGCTTCAAGTCAGTTCCTATTTTATCTGAATTGCTTTTCCCTAGCAACTTTAAGATGGAACCAGAGACCTGACAAGATTAATTCAGAAGCTGAATTACAGCTTGCCCAATGCCACAAGAGTACTGTATTTTGTTAACAAAATAACCTTTTATTTCAAGGTCAAGCTACAATCTTAACTGGACAATATTTGATGCAAACTGCCCTGAGCCATGTCTTCTCTGGCAGTGTTTAAGAAATGCCCCTAATAGTGCAGTAACTCAGTTGATGCTATCAGTGGTCATAATGTCACAGCATTTTCCACACTAAGAATCTCACGCTGCTTAGATTGGTGGAGTTGCCTGTGTATGGGGGTAATAGCTAGAGATCTTTCTATGACTGTAAAGGTAGGTAATAAGGTGAAGAGATGACATGCTGATGAAAGCAGAGGGAAAGAAAAGGTGGCCTCATGGTTATGGCAGGAAATTTGGGTATCTGACCTTATGCCTTGGCTTTGCTACAGACTTTCCACATGGCCTTAGGTAGATGACTAACTGGACGTTTGCAAACATAAAAAAACCCACCCCAAAAATGGCACTTTAAACTTGACTCATTACCACACCAAGCACCATGCATGCCCAGAAGAGGCAGCACATTACTTCAACCTGGCTCATCCACATCTGTAAAGACTTTAGTGAGGCTTTTTTGAAACTTTTATCTAATAGCTGATTGACTCAGCTTTAGCTAAAAGTGCCAAAATCCCCACTGAAGCACCCAATCTTTACAGATGCTGCAGAGCCAGGTTGAAGTAACACTGCTTTTTCCAGGAAAGTGGAGTTTTTTTGTTTTTAACATCTGCAAGCAGCCCCAGTAACCAAGTTCATTGCTGCTGAAATGGAAACCCGTCTTTTTTACTACCTTTGTCCAGTCTGCTAAGATCTTCAGGGCAATTGTTTTCTTGAGTCTGATCTGTGACCATGCCCACTCTTTAGCATCACAGAACCTAGACCTTAGCTGGTATCTAAGGGCGGAAAGAGAATATTACTTTTCATTGCCTTTGTCTGTTTGCTTGGCTTTTGTGCTCCCATAAATACTTTTACAGTGGCATAAAGTCCAAGAAGACAAATGAGCATGCCCCTTGTGTTACAAATGCCCCACATTTGTGTCTCACACAGGTGGTATTAATTTGTGCCCCTATTTAGCCGTGGGAGTCTGCTTGCTGCCCACACTCTCTAGTCATCCCAGTGGGTGCTCTGGGGGGTCAGAGGGGCATGATCCTGTGCAACCTGGGAATTCTCATGCAGGATTGGCCTCCCG